CAGAACATGTTTTTGGCCACTTTGTCAAAGATCAGATGGCTGAATGTGCCTGAGGTTGTTTCTGCATCATGTATTCTGTTCCATTGATCCACATGTCTGCTTTTGTGCCAGTACCATGAGGTTGCTAGCACTGTATCTTTATAAAACAACTTAAAGTCCGGGATTGTGATACTTCATGCTTTGCTGTTGTTGCTCAGGATTGTTTTTGCTACTCTTGGTCTCTTCTGGTTCGTATGATTTTTAGGATTATTTTCTATAGTGCTGTGAGTAATGCTGTTGGTATTTTCATTGGGATTGTATTAAATCTGTAAATCAATTTGGTAATATGGCCATTTTGACAGTATTAGTTCTTCCCATCCAGGAACAGAGGATGTCTCCATTTTCTGATGTTCTCTTTGATATCCTTTTTCAGAGTACTGTGCTTTTCATTGTAGAGGTCTTTCACTTCCTTGGTTAGGTTCATTCTTAAGTATTTAATTTTTCTTGATGCTATTGTGAATGGTATTGTTTTCTTAATTTCTTTCTTGCTGAGTTCATTATTGGTGTATAGGAATAGTATTAATTTTTGTGCTGATTTTGTATCCTGCTACACTACTGAATTTGGTTATTCTAGGAGTCTTTTTGTGGAATTTTCTGTGTCTTCTCTGCAGAAGATCGTGTCATCTGCAAATAATAATTTAACTTCTTCCTTTTTTGTACATATTCCTTTTATTTCTCCTGCTTAATTACTCTTGCTAATGTTTTGAGTACTCTATTGAACAAGAATGCTGATAGTATGGGGCCGGAGATTTAGCTCAGTGGTTCCGCCTCCTGCCTCGCAAGCAGGAGGACCCAAGTTCGATCCGCGGTAGCAAAAAAAAAAAAAAGAATGGTGATAGTGGACATCTTTGTCTTGTTCCTGATTTTAGAGGGAAAGCTTTCAGCTTTTCCCCGTTTAATATGATGTTGACAGGTTTGTCATAAATAGCTTTTATCAGACTGTGATAAGTTCCTCTATACCTGTTTCTCCATTATGATGAACGGATGTTGGATTTTTGTCAATGGCTTCTTCTGCATCTATTTGAGATAATAATGTGATTTTTGTCCTTGCTTTCTGTTTATGTGATATATTACATTTATTGATTTGCATATGTTGAACCATCCTTGCATCCTTGGGATGAAGCCAATTTGGTCAGGGTGTATGATCTTTTGATGATTTGTTGCATTCTTTTTGCTAGTATCTTGTTAAGGAATTTTGCATCTATGTTCATTAAAGAGATTGGCCTGTAGTTCTCTTTTGTGGTTGGATCCCTCTCTGGTTTTGGAGTCAGAATGCTAATGCTAGCTTCCAAAAATGATTTTGGAAGTACTCTCCCTCTCAATTTCATTAGAGTTTGAGAAGTATTGGTATTGTCTTCCCTAAAGTTCTTGTAGAATCCAGCGGTGAATCCATGAGGTCCAGGGCTTTTCTTAGTTAATCTTTTTTTTTTTATTATTACCACTTCAATTTCGTTGCCTGTTATTCAGAGTTTTTACATCTTCTTGTTTCAGTTTTGGTAATTCATATATATCCAGGAATCTATCCATTTCTTCTGGATTCTCCAATTTATTAGAGTACAGATTTTCAAAGTAGTTACTAGTAATCTTCTGAATTTCAGCAGTGTGACTTCACCTTTTTCATTTCTAATTGCATTATATTGGTTCTTTTTCTTTTTTTCTTTTTTCTTTTGTAAGATTGGCTAAAGGTTTGTCTGTCTTGTTTATTCTTTCAAAGAACCAGCTCTTCAATTCATTGATTCTTTGTATTGATTTTTTTAGTTGAGATTTCATTGATTTCTGCTCTGATCTTTATTTTTTTTTGTATTAAATTCTTTTATTGGTACATTGTAGGTATACAACACAATTACATTTCTCATTGGGAATTGTACCTTTATATAATGCATCTTGGTTCTTATTTTTTCCCCATTCCTAGCCCTCCCTTCACGCCCTCCACCCTTCCCTATTTACAAAGACTTTATTTCCATTTTTTCCATTTCTCATCATTTTTTCCTTTCCCTTCTTTCCTTTCCCCTGTGCCTCCTCATTAAAATCATTGGTACATTTTAGGTATACAATATAATGACATTCATCATTGGAAATTTGCACCTTTACATAATCTCTCTTGGTTCTTGTTTTTCACCCTTGCCCAGCCCTCCCTTCAACCCCTCCAGCCCTCCCTATTTACAAAACTTTTGTTCCTATTTTTCCATTTTCTCGTATTAATCCCATTCCCTTCTATCCTTTCCCCTAGCCCTCCCACTTCCTTCCCCTTTGTCCCTTTTCTTCCTATTTCACATGACCTATTATACATTTAGTCCTTATTTACACTTTCAGTTTCTCACACCAGAGAAACTATTCGGTATTTACACATCTGTGTCCTATTTATTTCACTTAAGAGTATTGCCTCAATGTGCATCTACTTAGCTATAAATGTCTCTAATTTCTCATTTTTTATGGCTGAGTAGTACTCCATTTTATAAAAAAAACACATTTTCTTTATCCAGTCTCTAGTTGATGGGCATTTGGGCTGTTTCTCTGATCTTTATAATTTCATTCCCTGTACTAGCTTTGGCTTTGGATTGTTGGTTTTCTAGAAGTTTGAGGTACATCATTAGGTTATTTATTTGGGCTCACTCTGTTTTTCTGGTACGGGCATTCACAGATATAAACTTCCCTCTTAGGTCTGCTTTCATTGTCTCCCATAAGTTCTGGTGTGTTGTACTGGCATTATTGTTTGATTCTAAGAGTTGTCCAATGTATTCTGTAACCCATTGATTATTCAAGGGGATACTGTTTAATTTCTGTGTGTTTGCATAATTTCTGTGGCTTCTTTTGCCAATGATTTCTAGTTTCATTGCACTATGATCTGATAATATGCATGGGATAATTTCAATTCTTTTGCATTAACTTAAGCATTCTTTATGGGTTAGTACATGGTCTATTTTGAAAATATTTTGGAAAATGTGCTACTGAGAAGAATGTGAATTCTGTTGTTGGGTGGAACAGTGCAGATATCTATTAAATCCATTTGTTCAAAGGTCTGTTTCAACTCTGATATTTTTGTTGATAGTTGTCTAGTTGATCTATTTGTGACAGTGTTTAGTACGTATGTATTTATAATTTTTATCTCTTCCTGCTGAGTTCCCTTAATATGTAGTGACCTTCTTTGCCTCTTCTGATCAGTGTTGGCTTAAGTCCACTTTGTCTGAGAATAGGATAGCTCCCCCTAGTTGTTTTCAGGTTCCCATTGCGTGGAATGTTGTTTTCCGTCCTTTGATTTTTTTTTTTTTTTTTTGGAGTCTATGAATCTCTTTATGGACTAAATGTGTTTCTTGTATACAGCTTACTGTCAGATTTGATTTCTGATCTGTTCTGCTAATCTGTGTCTTTTGATTAGGGAATTGAGACCATTCACATTAAGAGTTATTACTGAAAGGTACAATGGTACCTCAGTTCACGAATGCTTTTGTTTGCAAACAATTTTGGTTTGGCAAAATTTTGTTTTATTTACAAACTCTGCATCAGGTGGCAAATACAACTGCAGCCAACATATGCAAAGATTAACTCAAATGGATCAAAGACTTAAATCTAAGAGCAAAAACTATAAACCACTTAGATAAAAACATAGGTATAAATCTTCATAACTTCGGACTCATTTCTTTCAATATGACACCAATATCCCAAGGTACCAAAAGAGAAATTAGATAAACTAGACTTCATCTCTTCATTAAGAGCTTTTTGGTTTCAAAGAACACTATCAAAAAAGTGAAAAGACAACCCAGAGAATGGGAGAAAATATTTGTGAATCATGTATAAATGACTTGTATTCCAGAATACATTTTTAAATCCTTAGAACCCAGCCGTACGTGTTGGTACACACCTGTCTGTAATCCCAGCACTCTTGGAGACTAAGACACACAGTTGTGCTTATCCAGAACTCCCACAGATATCAAAATCTGAGGATGCTCAGGTCCCTTATAGAAATAGTTGTTACACTATATTGTTTAGGGGATGGCAACAAGAAAAAAAAGTCTGAGCATGTTCAATACAAATGCTTTTTTTTTCTGAATATTTTCAATCCATTGTTGGTTGAGTTGACATAGATATAGATATAGATCCCTACAATACCAAGGGATGATTCTGTGTGTGTGTGTGTACACATGCACACAGACATTTTGTTTATCCATTCATCAGTTGATACACATTTGGGTTGTTTCCACTTTGGACCATCACCTAAAAACAATAAAAATAATAAAGTATTAATTAGTACATGTTACTGTATGAGTAAACTTGAAAACATTACACTAAATGAATAAGACATAAAAGGCCATATATTTTATTATTGCATTTATATAAAATATCCAGAATATGCAAATCCATAGACACAGAAAGTGGTTTCCAGGGGCTGAAGGAAGGGGAAATAAATACCTAATGGATATGGTGTTTCCTTCTGCAGTGATGAAAATGTTTTGGAATTAGACAGTGGTTGTACAACCTTGTGAGTATACTAAGTCATGTTCTTTGAAAGGATGAATTATATCTCAAGGAAAAAGAAAGGCAGAAGGCCAGATTTGGCCCCTGTTCTAGAACAACAGTGTTTATAGTTACACAGACCAGAGACAGGATTTTAATTTTCAACTTACAAGCTCTGTGACCTTGGATAATTTATTTAATAGCTTTAAGCCTCACTTTTCTTCTATGTACGATGGAACTATGTCCAGTATCTCTCTCTTATTGTGTGAGGATAAAGTTAGGTCAAATGTAAACTCTGTGAAGGCACTCTTATCTCCAAGGCCTTGAATTGGCAGGCACTCAGTAAACATGAAAGAATAAACAAAAGATTTAGCATAGTCACTGGCTCATGGTAATAAATAACATAGCAAACCCTTATATAACATTTATTATATATCTGATGCTATTCTAAGTGCCTTGCAGAACTTTGTCATTTAGTATATAATATTTTCATCATCTACATTTTCCAGATGAGAAAACTGAAGCACAGAAGTGTGAGTGACTTGCCCCAAATCACAGAGGTAACAAACAGTAGAGCCAAAGTTAAACACAGGCAGTTGGAATCTAGTATCTATACAATAAATATTGAATGTGAATTATCATTATCATCACAGAATTTACAACATATCCAAGGCTACTGATCCCATTTCTCCCTTTGGTATCTAAGCACACAGTAGTCATTCTGCTTCCCCAGCATTTGATTTAAAGTGAGAATACTTCCCAAGTCTCTGACATTCTGCTAGAAAGTATATTCATTCTTTCATCCACCCATTCATTCATGTATTCATCAAGCATATATAGGTTCCCTACTATGTTCTAGGCCCTGTGCTACATAGAGATAAAGGGGCATATAGTACTCTCTATCCTTAAAGAGCTCAGTCTAGTCAAGAAGAGAATTTTAGTCCGCAGTGCTGAGTCCTGTTGTATAGATTATATGCAAGGATGCTGTAGAAGCAAAGAAGACCCAGGAGGATGGCATGGAGGTAGGAGGAGGAAAGGGCCTGGAGGAAGTGGTACCTGGGAAAGATTTCAAAAGAGGATATGAATTGTCAGGAGAGGATGATTAAGTCAAGAATGAGGTTTAACTAAGATTGAAGTGGATTAAAGATCTAAATATTAAAACAGAAACACTAAACTTACTGGAAGATAAGTTAGGGAGAACTCTCGAAGACACTGGTACAGGAAAAGACTTTATGAACAAATCCTCAGTGGCACGGCAACCAGCACAAAGAATCAACAACTGGGATCTCATCTTATTAGAAAGCTTCTGCACTGTGAGAGAAACCACCAACAGAGCTAAGAGACAACCTACAAAGTGGGAAAAAAATTTTAGCAGCTGTACCTCAGACCAAAGACTACTATCTAGAATATATAAAGAACTGAAAAAATCAGACCTCCCAAATTCAAAGACCCAATTCAAAAATGAGCATCTGAAATGAACAGACATTTCTCAGACAAAGAAGTAAAAGCAGAAAATAAGCATATGAAAAAATGTTCAACATCATTGGTCGTTCAAGAGATGCAGATGAAAACAGCACTGAGATTCCACCTCACCCCAGAAAGAATGGCTGCTATCAAGAAATCAACCAATAACAAATGCTGGCGGGGATGTGGGGAGAAAGGAACCCTGCTCCATTGTTGGTGGGAGTGCAGACTGGTGCAACCACTATGGAAATCAGGATGGAGATACCTCAAAGAACTAGGACTAGAGCTCCCATTTGACCCAGCTATTCCCCTACTTGGTATCTTCCCCAAAGAATTAAAAGAATCATACCACAGCGATATATGTGCACCCATGTTTATAGCAGCACAGTTTGTAATAGCTAAAGCTTGGAAACAGCCCAAGTGCCCATCAACTGGAAACTGGATAAAGAAGATGTGGGTTTTTTATAAAATGGAGTACTACTCAGCCATAATGAAGAAGAAACTAGAGACATTTATAGCTAAATGGATGCATATCGAGGCCATACTCTTAAGTGAAATAATTAGGGCACACGTGTAAATACCGAATAGTTTCTCTAGTGTGAGAAACTGAAAGTGTAAATAAGGATTACCATGATTAAAATGATTAACTGATAATTTGAAATAGGAAGAAAAGGTCCAAAGGAGTAGGGGAAGTGGGAGAGGCAGGGAAAAGGAAAGAAGGGAAAGGAAAAATTATGAGAAATCAAAAAAATGGAAACAAAGTCTAGGTAAATAGGGAAGGGTGGAGGGGGTGAAGGGTGCACAGGTAATGGGGAAAAAAGAACCAAGATACATCATGTACAGGTACAAGTACCCAATGATAAATGTAGACATATTGTATACCTAAAATGTACCAATAAAAGAATTCAAGCAAAAAAAAAATGAGGTTTAAGTATATACACAGGTCAAGAGGCCCAGGATCCCTTGGTGAAACCCAAGGAATGAATGGTATGGAGTCCAGCATGACCAAAAGCTTGGTTGCAGGGGGCACCTGAGAAAGCTCATAAGGGCTCAGGTGTCATGCAAGTTTGGTCCTGAGCAACTAACTACTAACTACCCAACATTCTCTACCCCTTTCACCCTACTTTATTTTTCTTTGCAGCATTCTCTACCATATTACATATCTGTTTGTTTATTGACTGTCTCTTCCTATAGGAATGTGTGCTCTCTCCCTGAGGACTTTGCTTTTCCACTGCTATATCCCCTGAGAAGAGTATAATGAACCCTATGTACTCATCACCCAGCTTCAACAATTGTCAACATTTATCATTCTTATTTCTTCTATCTTCCATTTTTTCCAGAAAAATTTTAAAGCTAATCCCAGGTTTCATATCATTTCACAGCTGATGGTCTGTAAATATTTCAGTATGTATCTCTGACAGATGAGGATCTTTTCTTTTGGTGGAGGGGAACTGCTAGGGGTCAAACCCAGGGCCTCAAACATACTAAAAATCTACCACTGATCTACACTCCCTGCCCAATGAGTACCTTTTCTTAACATAATCACAAAACTGTTATCAAACTCAACAAAATTAATGATCCCTTAATATCATCTAATATCGGTATCTGTTACCTAGTTGTCCTAAAAATATCTTTCTACAAGGATTTGTTCAAAAAAACTGGACCCATATAAGACCCATACATCTCTCTTGTGCTTTTCATTTGTAAAGCTACTTGGCAATATTTCAGGCTTCCTGGATAAGCAGGGACTAGTCATCTTGAAACCCCTCTAAACAGCCCAGATTCCCTATCCCTAGGGCAGTGATGGCGAACCTTTTAGAGCTTTCAATGATACAGTGGGCTCACTGTGGCATATGTGCCATAGGTTCATCACCACTGTCCTGGGGGCTTCAAGATGGCCTCCTCCTGGCCAGAGAAAGGAGCTAGCCATTCAAGACCCAAGCTCCTCATCAGATCTTTTTCTGTTCCCCAATAAAAGGTAAAGGAACTGTCACATTGGAATGGGGTAGGGAGAGAGAGGAGAACCAAAGAAATGCCTTGTTACCAGGTTTGTGCTCTGCCTCCTGTCTAGCCACCCCTAGTCACTACCTCCCTACTGACTGACCTCATACAGTAAATCTTTGGTTCAGCTGTGGAAAAGTAACAGTAATTACAGATATTCCTGGGAGTTGCTTACCATTATGCCAAATTGCACTATAGCACAATAATCATTATGTGTACCATTAAAGATGTGTCAGACTGACTTTGTCACAAGTTTTATTTTAGTTCAATACTAAACCGCTTCAGTGGGCATAGACTGCAGAGCTTGTTGCTTCTAGTCCTTACCAGGGAGTGGGAGACCAGCTGCTAGCAAGCTTGCAATTAAACATCTTACCTTGTCCTTTCTCTTCTCCTACTTTTCTGTCTCATCCACAATGCCTGCTTGCCTGTCTGCCCTTCCTGTCCGTGGGCTGAATATCTGGGCTTGAGGCAGAGTGATTCATAGTACCAAACAGAAACAACAAAAACAACAAAATGCTGGGCATGGTGGCGCACACCTATAATCCCAACATTTGGGAGGCTGAGGCAGGGGATCACTGCAAGTTCAAGGCTAGCATGGGCTACATAGTAAGTTCAAGGCCAACATGGACTACACACCAAGACCCTATCTCAAAAAACCAGGAAAAAAAATCCTAGAGCTTCTGTCAGTGTCAACCACTGCTTCCCCATCCACAGGGACCTTAGTCAGGCTTCTTACTGACTCATCCCATGTAACATCTTCATTATTCTTCCCATTTTGGAGAGGAGTAATGTAAAATGAGCCAATATGTTCAAAGTCATTGGGTTTATCAGCAGAATCAGAAGGAGAACTGGAGGCTGTGGATGCTGAGCAGAGCTTCTGTAGGAGCCATGGCCTGGTCAAGCTCCATCCACTAGACCTTTCTCTGTAGTAATGGAAGTATTTTCAGTTTTCAGAGGTACTAAATGGTGCTATCCATGCTGCTGGGCAAGTTCCTGAGTAGCAAGCATGGGAGAGAGTGAGGGGTGAAAGTGAGAAGCAGTACTTTCTAGCTCATGTTTGTGAACTATAGATGAACCTAAGGGACTGGACCAGGAGGCCCCTGAGGCCTTAGCTCCTCCGCACATTGTCAGGCCACCTTTGGCAGCAGATTTATTGCTACTTGTCCACACCAAGGCAGCTGCTAAGCAAAAGTAAACCCAGTGTTGAAGAAGCAGGTAGAACATATCCAATCACTGCCTAATGGGCCTCTCCTTGGATCCTGTGAGACCCAGTACATGAGTTCAGTTTGTGTTTGTTCAAATGCTCATTCATTCAGCCAGATTTAAGTGAAGTCTGTACCCTACTCTCTACTAAGAAAGCATCTTTGTCCCATGTGGTTCTGGCCCCTAGGATCTGTACTGGCAGTCTAATGAGAAAGAAGGGCATGCAAACAAATACGCCAGAGTGAGTCCAAGGACTATATAAGCCCATGTGGAAGCACAGGGGAGAGAACAAGAAACTCTGCCTTTGGGGAGTCAGTGAAGACTTCAAAGAAGTTATATTTGAGCAGGATCTTGAAAGATGAGTAAGAATGGTCTAAGCTGAGAACGGAGGTCCAGTCATTCTCTACAAAGGGAATGTCAAACAGAAAAGCAAGGAATTGTGCCAGCATGAAGGAACCCAGGATCCTTTATGCAGAGGTAGGGCAAACAGGTTGGCATTAATGTATATCATGGCCTTTCATAATTTAAGATCAGACTTCAAGGTAAACCATCACTCCCATTATGGGTTTTGTGCCTTTGCTTCCCTGCCTTTTGTGGCAATATGTTGGCCTTTTTGCAGTTCCTGGGAACTTAGCTCAAAAGCTCATACTGTAATATGCCATTTCATTTTATTCGCACTAAATTTTGAACCAATCACATTGGCCAACTGAATGGATTCACTGTGTGCTATTCCAGGTTTCTTGCAGTGGCAAAAAGAGGTCTTTTTTCCTTAGAGTCAAACCCAAGAAAGTAGAGCCCACCACAGAGAAGATGGCACAGATTTGGGTGATACCTATATGACACATGCTAGATATTTGGTGCCCCATATCTGTTGTCAACCAAATGGTATGTT